TAAGTCGCGAGGGAAGGGATTGCTGTACCCTTCTCGCGATAAAAATACCTCAGGCATGAACCGCAGGAGGGGGTCCAACCCCCCCCTCCTATGTGACCCCGGTTGGGTCGTCTAGCTAGTAGAAGTGGAGGATAGGGGCCAGAGGGGCAGACGACAGAGTCCTATGATGGGAGCAAAACAAACAACAAAAATCCGCACATATGCATACCAAACTGAAAATACGTATGTTTTCTCTGACGCTATGATTCCATTTTTACTCTGTCTATGACTCTTTTTTATGATAGAGATGGACTCGTTGTGTCATGTTGTTGTTGTTGTTGTTGTTGTCTTCACATTAAACCGTATGTCAGATGCAAAATGCCAAAATCTAGCAAAAGTCTCTCAGCCCGTGGTCACGAAAGTGCTAGAGCCATCTGAGGATCTAAAGAACACGCACACATATAACGAGAAAAAGGTATCCAAGAGCCCGAAGAGGTACACCTAAAAATCCCTGCAGCACCGTTCGCGTGCCCAAAAACTGAACTGCACGTCCGGCCCACTGTTCGACTACAGCAGCATCACCCCCTCCCTGTCCCACTCTATACCAACACGGAAGATTGCCGACTACAGCATACTGCTGTCTGAAGTGCTGCCTGTACAAAAACACCATGGTAGGCATGGAACAAGAAGCTGGCGGGGCACAAAGCTGCTGTCTGAAGTGCTGTCAGAATGTGTCTGCGGCCGTACAGTGAAAAAGAACAACCAACCAAAGCCATGATTGCAATGGACAATCACCCGAACCTCTCCCGATCGTCTGTGTTAGGCACGCAGTGAAAATATCGACAATAGCTAAGAATCGTTCCACATTGAAGGGGTCTTCCACGATCAGGCACATAACCAAGGCACCCGGGTTAGCCACGCCATCTCTGACGGGTCTCTCTAGAAAACCGGTGACGATGTCATCACACAAAACCAACACAGAAAGTCAGAAAAAAACGAAAAAAATTGACAACACAGAAATGTTTGTCCGTGCACCACGGGTCGACGTCGCCCGCATGCTCCGGTGCCATTGCTCCATCCGGCGCCGCTGTAGTCAGCCCGAGCAAAACGCCACTCGACCTGCTCCGT